ATGAACGTTTTAATGGCAACATCCCTTCCTTATTCCTATTCTTCTGTTTGAGGCGGTAAGAAAGGCAAATTAAGGACGGTTTAATGGGTGATTTAAAGGAATTTTATTTTATTAGGAATTATTTAGGATAGTGTTATATAAATTAAGAGAGAATAATAGCTAAAGAAATGTGGGAGTAATGATGAGAGAACCTGTCATATTGGTTACTTTTCACGTTTGAAAACAAAGAAAGAGATAAGATTGGAGCCATAGAGAGAGTGCCACTTCTAGGTGATTGGTGCATCAACCCGGCTGTCATCATCTTCATTTTTGTTCGGTGAATTTCGTGACACTGGTTTTTGGTAAGGAACCCTCTAAGCTTAAGTTATATTCCAATGTTTTGTTTTATAAGCTGAGATTTTAAGTAATCTGTTAGGGGTAAGGTCGTAACAACTACTGAAACTTCGCTTGACACCCTCTCCGTCGTTGGTGTTTGACTCACTTGGCTGTCCATTAAAGGAAAGAGGGAGCCATGGCCTAGACTTAAGAACTAGTTTGTGGAGAACTATAGACAAAATAATAATAATTAAATAAATATTTATAGAAACTATGGTTTTGAATATTACAAGTGTTGGTGGTAAAATATATAAGTAAATAGCATTTGAGCTGGTTTCATATTTGATGAACATTTGTGCAATATACATATATTTAAATTGGCTAATACGTGGTGATGCATCCAAACGTAGGGACGATTAAATAACATGGATCAGTTAGTGTTTATTAAATCATGAATCATTTCGATATAGGGAGTGAATTCGAATCATCTCGATATCAATTGAATTATGTTGGACCCAGTACCTTGTCGGGACGTAGAAAGAGTGTTTCTCGTTAAATAAGCGGATTTCAGATTTTCTAGATGTGTGTCTTTTCCCCGTCGATGTATAAATATTTATCAATTTACGTTAGTACGATTTAGTGTGTATGTGTGTCTTTCCCCTGATTTATAGTTAAACTAATTATTTGTATATTCGTAAGTCCTTTTAGTTCAATATAAGTATATTATCCCATGTTAGTGTTTCATAATTTTTTTTAAATTAATAATTGTTATGTTTGGCAATTGTGTGAAAATGTGAAGCATGATTAAAATATTTATATGTCCGTAGAAGCATGTGGTATTAATTGTTGTTGTGTGAAATTCTAAATGTTAAGGCATGCTATTTCTTGTAGTGTATATATTAATTTCTATATGTTGAAATATATACATATATATATCGGAGTTTGGGGTTGGGGGATTGGAGTTTTAATTATTGGAGTCGTTGTTAACGGAGTATCGGGGGTTATATTTTTATTATCAGAATTGTTGTTAACGAAGTCGTTGTTATTGGAGTTGATGTTATTAGAGGTGTTATCGAAGATGCTGATTTTGATAAACTTAAATTACATAGGTGTTTGGACGTGGGGCAGTGGTAAAATATTTAATAATACCATAATTGCTCATATATGATGTTCATTGTATTTCTTATATGTTGTCATGATTAAATGTGTGTATTTCACATGCAAATTCTAGTACTTGTTTTAATTAGTTTTAGACCATACTGGGCTTCACCCTACCCCGTTTCTTTCTTCCCTTTCAGAAAGATCGAGACATTAGGATCGAATCAGTATCTGGAGGATCGAGTTTCAATTACCAGTATTTTATTCGTATGATTCTATCAATAATTGACAGACTGTGGCATTTAGTTTTATTTTTAATTACTTCTAAAAATGTGTTTAAAATTTCCAGACATTAATAATTTTTAAGTATTTGGACATATTTTATCTTACATTAAAATGTTTATTTTATATTACTATGAAATATTTATTTTAATCATAAAAATTACTAAGTCACTCTGTAGAGCGCGGTGACATTCGATATTTGGTCAAAACATCTAGGTTGGGTAATGAGTGTTACATTTGTTAGTATCAGATTCGGTTTTAAAACTCAAATTGTAGGGTCCACATATTTAAAAAAATTCTAAATGCCACAAATTGTTTTATAACATTTGAGACTCTAATATCGATCTAACTTTAGTTTTATAATTTATTTATGATGTAGATATTATAGTTTCAATTTTTAATCATTAATACTTAGAATTTGGACGAGGACAAAGTCGTAGGACCAATCATGGTCGAGGTGGTTGGTATATAATGCCACGAGAGAATCCTTCTATTCACTAGGAACCACTGGCACCTCAAGGAGAAGCAACAATTGAGAGTGACGACATACACACTCTTGTAAACAATTCCCTAGCTGATAATGAGGAAAATCAAGATGAATTTGATGATGACACACTTGGAATGGCCATGCTTCGGATGTTCCTGAGGATGGTTGGCATTCAGTCACGACCGACATGTAGGATTATTATATCTGAGATGTTGAAGACTAACGGTGCTGAGAATTCTCATGGAGAAACTAATACAGCTCCGACTAAGGCAAAATATAGGTTGGAAGACGCATAAAGAATATTTGAGGAGCTTGAATTGTCGCCTGATTAATGATAGAAAGGAGATGTCTCACTGTTAAAGGGCCAGACTATGAGATGGTGGAAATACACATCTGGAAGGGCACAACCCGATCAGTTGACTTGGGAATACTTTCATGAGTCCTTTAAATGAATGTACATTAGCGAAAGATACAAAGAAGAGTGATGCCAAAAGTTTCTTGATTTGAAGCAAGGAACTATGACAGTTGTTGTGTCTAAGGTAGAGTTTCTTTGACTAAGTATGCTTCGAAGATGATTACTACATAGAAGGATAAGTGTAACATATTCCTGGATGGTTTAGATGCGAAGATATATGGCAGGGTTGCTCCACACCAGGTGAGGGTATTTGATGATTTAGTTGACAAGGCAAAAATAATTGAGGATGAAGAACAAGCTTGTATTAAGTCTTATGGTAAGAGTGAATACCGGGGTAAGAAGCGAGAAGGGTCTACTAGTTTACAGGCTTATTCTTACAAGCGGACTCGAGGGGATAAACCCCAACAAAGTTATACTGGAAGTCGACATGTGGCATCATCTAAGTCACATATTGGTTCTTACGGATCATCCGGATTTACTATGATAATATTTTGAACTCTTTACAACCATCAACATTCTAATGGAGATGTAGAATGAGGAAAGGAGCTTGCTTTCGCTGTGGATCCTTTGAGCATAAGGTGGTTGAATGCCCGCAACTCCAACTTTTACTCAAACATCAACTCGGTCACATACATTAGTTCAAACTCCACAAAGAGGTTATGGTTAAGAAAGAGGATCAAGTTCTAGATTTTCCCCTGTTACAGTTGGTCGAGGATAACATACTCAAGGTTAGAGTTTTGCTAAAATTGAGGCCAGACAACCAGGATTGGTATATGTTGCTACACTTCGTGAGAACAAGGATGCACCTGATATTATTGCAAGTACCTTTATGATACATGTTGAACCTTATTTTTCTTTATTAGATAATTGTTTCACACATTCGTATGTTGCCAGTAATGTATCGGGAAACATGGGAATTTGATCTGATCTTGAGAATGGATTGGTTGAACGAGCATGAGGTGGATCTAAAGTGTGTTGCTAAGAAAGCAATTTTGAGAACATATGATGATAGGGAAGTAATTTTATTTGGAGAATACGAGGTTATTTATCCAACATGGTGTCTGCTTTAACTTCTAAGGAGTTGATCAAAAAGGGATACAACATATATTTGGCTTATATTTTGGATACGCGAAAGTCAGATTCTGTGAGTTTAGACATTCGAACAGTGAAGGACTTTCCAGATGTTTTACCTAAAGAATTATCGGGACTACCACCTAATCGAGAAGTTAAGTTTGGAATCAAATTTTATCTGGGAACAAATCCAGTATCCATTGCACCGTATTGAATGGCACCAAAAGTGTTGAAAGAGCTAAAAAATACAATTGTAAGAGCTTTTGGATCGGGGATTTATTCGCTCAAGTGTTTCACCGTGGAGAACACCTATTCTGTTCGTGAAAAAGAAAGATGGGACTTTAAGGTTGTGCATTGACTATTATAGCTAAATAAACTCACGATCAAGAATAGATACCCTTTAACTTGAATTGATGACTTGTTTGATCAATTTTGAGGAGCTACAAAATTATCTAAAATAGATCTGAGGTCAGGGTACTATCAACTAAAGGTGAAGGACTCTTATGTATATAAGACAACATTCAAAACTCGTTACAAGCATTATGAATTTTTAGTGATGCCTTTTGGATTGACTAATGTTCCTCCCGCTTTTATGGATATGATGAATTGGGTGTTCCAACATTATTTAGGCCAATTTTTTGTTATATTCATTTACGATATTTTGGTTTACTCTAAAACTGAAGCAGAGTATGATGAACACTTGAGGATTGTTTTACAGATTCTTCAGGAGAATAAATTGTAAGAAAAGTTAAGTAAACATAAGTTCTGGCTGAAAGAGGTAGTATTTTTGCGACACGTGGTCTCTGTTGAAGGTATTCATATGGATATACAAAAAGGTGGAAACTATTCTAGAGTGAAGACAACCTAATAATGCCTCTGAGGTTCGTAGTTTTCTGGGATTAGCAAGCTATTATCGAAGATTTATTGAGGAGTTTTCTATAATTGTTGCACCTTTGAATAAGCTTTTGAGGAAGAATGCACCATTTATCTGGGGTAATGATCAACAAGCTGGCTTCGAGAAGCTCAAGTCTGCACTAACCCAAGCCTATGTGCTAGTTCAACCTAAGTCCGGAAGGATTATATTGTGTATAGTGATGCATCTCATTCTATCTTGGGTTGTGTTTTAATGAAGAAAGGTAAGGTGGTTACATACACATCACGACAGTTAAAGTACCATGAGCGTAACTACCCCACACACGATATTGAACTTGATGCAGTTGTGTTCACACTAAAAACATGGAGGCACTATTTGTACATAGAGAATTGCTACATGTATACATATTATAACAGTCTGAAGTACCTTCTAACTCAAAAAGAGTTAAATTTATGCCAATGTCGATGGTTGGAGTTTTAAAAGACTATAATTGTGTGATAGAGTATCATCCAGGAAATGTCAATGTGGTGGCTCATGCACTTAGCATGAAGGAGATTATCGATTTGAGGGTTATGTTTATTAATTTGCGTGTGATGGATAATGGTTGTTTATTGGTAGAGTTGCACTTGAATCCAACTTTGATGGAGGAGATTAAAGCAAAAAAAACCTTGTATGTAACTTTGTTGCCTCAGGTTAAACGGGTTGGGCAAGGCTTTTATGTGCCTAATGATGAAGGAGATTCAGACTTTATTTTTTATCAAAATGGAATTTTGTTACCGAGAAAGTTTTTTTTTTCTAATGATGAAGAGTTGAGGCAATTGATACTTCATGAGATGCATAGTAGTCCTTTTGCTATGCACACTGAAGGTAATAAGATGTATCAGGACTTGAAAAATTGATATTGGTGGTTTGGTATGAAGAGGGTGTAACAGAATTTCTATCTAAATACTTACCATGACAACAGGTTAAGACAGAACACCAGGTTCCTTCGAGATTATTTCATTCGATTCAAATAATGCAATGGAAGTGGGAGAGAGTCACCATGGATTTCGTATGTGGTTTACCGTTAACACCCTCGAAAAAAGTATCAGTTTGGGTCATTAGTGATAGGTTGAGTAAGGCTGCTCATTTCTGTCGGTTTGAACATATTATAGTTTGCAGAAGTTTGTAGAGCTATACTTTTTAGAGATTGTGATGTTACAGGGTGTATCAATATCTGTCATCTCTGATCTTGATCCAAGGTTTACATCTAGATTCTGGCAGAAGCTTTACGAGGCACTTGGTACTCATCTAAATTTCAGTATTGCTTACCATCTATAGTCTGACGGTCATTCTAAATGGGTAATACATATTGTAGAGGATATGTTACGGGCTATGTGATTGAACTTCGGGGTAGTTGGGAGGATCACTTACCATTAGCAGAATTTGCCTATAATAATAATTATCAGTCTAATATCCAGATGGCTCTGTATGAGGCTTTCTATGGACATAGGTGTCGTACACCACTCTGTTTGACTGAGTTGAGCGAGCAAAAGGTTTTAGGTCCACAGTTGGCTCAAGAGACAGAAAATGTGGTACGTATGATTCAAAATCATCTTTGAACTTCGGGGTAGTTGGGAGGATCACTTACCATTAGCAGAATTTGCCTATAATAATAATTATCAGTCTAATACCAGATGGCTCTGTATGCTTTCTATGGACATAGGTGTCGTACACCACTCTGTTTGACTGAGTTGAGCGAGCAAAAGGTTTTAGGTCCACAGTTGGCTCAAGAGACAGAAAATGTGGTACGTATGATTCAAAATCATCTTAAGTCATCATTCGATCATCAAAATTCTTATACAGACCTTAAACGTAAGGAGATTGAGTACGAGGTGGGGGAGCAAGTATTTTTTAAGGTCTCTCCGTGGAAGAAGGTGCTCAGATTTGGTAAAAAGAGGAAACTAAGTCCCAGGTTCATTAGACCATATCATATTCTTAAGAGAGTTGGTCATGTGGCGTATCAGCTTGAGTTACCTCAAGAGTTGGAACGTATCCATGATGTGTTCCATGTTTCTATGCTTCATAGGTACATGTCAGATCTGTCGCATATAGTTTCGTTGGAAGAAATTGATGTGAGAAAAAATTTGACTTTTGAGGAGCAAGTTATGATTATAAGAAGAGATGAGAAGGTCTTAAGGAAGAGGTGGATTCCCTTGGTCAAAGTCTTTTTGGAGGAATCACGATTCGAAAGAAACGACTTGGGAACCTAAAGAAGATATGCACGAGAGATACCTCATCTATTTGATTCAGGTAAAATTTCGAAGACAAAATTTCTTTAAATAAGGGAGTTATAATACCCTGAAATTTGATTTAGGAGTTTTGTATTGATTAATTTGATTTTAAATATATATATATATATATATAATAAGAAAATAACTACATAATGATGAGGATTAAAAACATAGGAATATATAAGGGTGGTAATCACCACACTACGTTTTCAATTACCAATTGAATACAAATGGTTAGTGGGAGTAATAATAATAATAAAATGGTGATGAACGTTTTAATGGCAACATCCCTTCCTTATTCCTATTCTTCTGCTTGAGGCGGTAAGAAAGGCAAATTAAGGACGGTTTAATGGGTGATTTAAAGGAATTTTATTTTATTAGGAATTATTTAGGGTAGTTTTATAGAGAATAATAGCTAAAGAAAGGTGGGAGTAATTATTAGAGAACCTTCCATATTGGTTACTTTTTACGTTTGAAAACAAAGAAAGAGATAGGATTGGAACCAAAGAAAGAGTGCCACTTCTAGCTGATTGGTGCATCAACCCGGCTGTCATCATCTTCGTTTTTGTTTGGTGAATTTCATGACACTGGTATTTGGTAAGGAACCCCAAAAGCTTAAGTTATATTTCTATGTTTTGTTTTATAAGGTGAGATTTTAAGTGATCTGTTAGGGGTGACGTCGTAATAACTGCTGAAACTTCGCTTGACACCCTTTCCGTCGCCGGTGTTTTGACTCACTTGGCTGTCTATTAAAGGAAATAGGGAGCCATGGCCTAAACTTAAGAACTAGTTTGTGGAGAACTTTAGAGAAAATAATAATAATAATTAAAATATATATTTATAGAAACTATGGTTTTGAATATTACAGGTGTTGGAGGTAAAATATATAAGTAAATAGCATTTGAGCTAGTTTCATATTTGATGAATATTTGTGCAATATATATATTTATATATTAATGGTGATGAAATCGGAAATATGGGATTTATTAAGTCATGAAAGTGTGTTGCCATTTGTAGAATATGGGATTTACGTTTGGTAGAAAAATAATAAAAACAAATATATATATATATATATATATATATATATATATATATATAATGGGAATCAAATGAGAATGTGTGTACCATTAAATTATAAATTCAAATTGGCTAATACGTGGTGATGCATTCAAAAGTAGGGACGATTAAATAATATGGATCAGTTAGGATTTATTAAATCATGAATTGTTTTGATGTAGGAAAGTGAATCCGAATCATATCGACATCAATCGAATTACGTTGGACCCAATACTTCTTCAAGACATGGAAAGAGTGTTTCTCGTTAAATAAGCGGATTTTAGATTCTCTAGATGTGTGTCTTTTCCCCGTCAACATATAAATATTATCAATTTACGTTAGTAGGATATTATTATGCATGTGTGTCTTTCCCTGATTTAGAGTTAAACTAATTATTCGTATATTCGTTAGTCCGTTTAGTTTAATATAAGTATATCATCCCATGTTAGTAGTGTTTCATAATTTTTTAAATTAATAATTGTTATGTTTGGCAATTGTGTGAAAATGTGAAGCATGATTAAAATATTTATATGCCCATAGAAGCATGTGGTGTTGATTGTTGTTATGTGAAATTCTAAAATTATAAGGCATGCTATTTCTTGTGGTGTATATATTAATTTATATTTTTTGAAACTTGAAATGCATATATATATATATATATATATATCAAAGTTTGGGGTTGGGGGATTGGAGTTTTAATTATTGGAGTCGTTGTTAATGGAGTATCGGGAGTTATGGGGTTATATTTTTATTATCAGAGTTGTTTTTAATGGAGTCACTCTTTTTGGAGTATCAGAGATTAGGCGATTGTATTTTATTGTCGGAGTCACTATTATTACAGTCGCTATTAATGGAGTTGTTGATGTTAGTTACCGGAGATGCTGATATTGATAAACTTAAATTACATAGGAGTTTGGATGTGGTTTATTGGTAATGTTTAATAATATTATAATTGCTCATATATTATGTTCATTATATTTCTTATATGTTGTCATGATTAAATGTGTGAATTTCGCCTGCAAATTCTATTACTTGTTTGAATTAATTTTAGACCACACTGGCCTTCAGCTCACCCTATTTCTTTCTTCCCTTTAAGACTGTTCGAGACATTAGGATCAAATCGGTATTTGGAGGATCGAATTTCAATTACCAATATTTTTCTCGTATGATTCTATCAATAATTGACAGACTGTGACATTTGGTTTTATTTTTAATTACTTTGAAACTGTGTTTAAGATTATCAAACTTTTATAATTTTTAATTATTTGGACATATTTTATCTTATATTAAAATGTTTATTTTATATTACTATGAAATATTTATTTTAATCATAAAAATTTATAAGTCACTCTATGGAGCGCCGTGACATCCGATATTTGGTCGAAACATCTAGGTCGGGTAACAAGTGTTACAATAGGTTGACAATACTTTGCCATGATTTTATTCACTTCATGACAATCTACATATATGCACTATGTTTCATCTTTCTTAGGCATAAGTAGAACCGACACATTACAAGGACTAAGACTTTCCCTCACATCCTTTCCATCAATTCTAAAATTTGCCTTTGTAACTCTTTAGTTTCCTCGGGTTACTTTCGTAAGCATGTCGCTTAGGAATGATAGCTCCTAGAACAAAATCAATTTGAAACTTAATACCTCAAATATGTGGTAGCCCACTTGGAATCTCTTTAAGAAACAAGTCTTCAAACTCCTATAATAGTGAAATAACAAAATAAGGAAAATCAGGATTAAGGTTATACTATGTTTAAATAACTTTCCTTGTACATGAGTACAAGTATTGTTGTTTCTGACAACAAACAATTTCTTATTTCTTTTCCCCTCACAAAGATGTTGATTTTCTTTCCCTCCTCTTTTTCACTCTCTTTTTTGTCAGTTTTTACCCACTCTTTTTGGTTTTCTCAAAACTCTCTTTGAAGTGTACTTGATTTTTGTGGACTTGTTTTGGTGAAAGCGGGGCTAAAATGATCTTCTTTTCTTCATGAGTGAATGTATATCTATTGGTATAGCTATCATGAATCACTCATCTATCAAACTGTCATTGCATTCCAAGTAGTAGATGGTCAGCATGCATCGGAACGACATCACATAACACATCATGTTTGTATCTTCCAATGGAGAAAGAAATGAAAACTTACTTGGTGATCCTGAGTTTCCCTCCATCATTGAGTCTTTATAGCTTGTAAGGATATGGATGCTTTGTTATTGCTAGGCCAAGCTTATCTACCATCAAAGTACTAGTAACATTAGTACAACTACCTCCATCAATAATGGCAAAGCATATCTTCCCATTAACATGACAAAGAGCATGAAAAATAGTCTTGAGTTATTCATCCCCTTCAATGGCTTACACACTTAGGCTCATTTTGACTATAAGGGCCTCTCATTCAACAGCATGATCCAACTATTATTCTTTTTGGATGGAAATGATATCTCCTTCATTCTCCTCTTAGTCACAATCTCTCCATCAGCTCGAATGAGTATAGTGTTTTGGTTTGGCCATTGATTAGTAATGTGTACTTGCCCTAAGTACTTGAGGCATTGTACATCACGGGAACAAATGGGATTGGATGGGTTATTTCCTTTGCTGGTTTTGGTAATAGGCTTATTGCTTCTTAGGTGGTCTGTCTCTTTCATTGGATGAAATAGAGAACTTTTTTTGTAGGGCATTTGTCCCTATTTTGATGTAGAACTCCCACAGGTGGTTGAAGTCTCATTTCTCTTGATTTACTTCTCCACCTTCATGGTCATATGCACCATGTCATCAATTTCCACATAATGTTCCAGCTCCACCACACTTGCACTGTTAGGATCAAGGCCCACTAGGAACCTTGCCATCATGGCTTCTTGATCCTCGTATATGTTAGCACGAATCATGGTTACCTCCATCTCTTTATAATGGTATTTTACGGTCTAATTTCATTGCGTTTTGAAGCCTATTAAATAATTCGCGATGGTAGCGAGTATGAATTAATCGCCTCCATATCATTGCTTTCATCTTATTCTAATTTATGATATGATGTTCATCGTTTTTCTTTCTACTAGAAGTTATCTGATCCCACCAAATTAGTGCATAATCAGTAAACTCAATAGAAACGAGTTTTACCTTCTTAAGTTCATAATAGTTGTGGCACTCAAAGATGTGCTCAACCTTCTTTTCCCATGCTAGGTAAGCCTCAAGATCCATCTTACCTTGGAAAATATAATGGAAATCTTAATGTTGCTAAGGTTGTTATCCGTTTGGAGATGAAAACTTTAAGGTCTCACACCTTGATTTCTTTATTAAGAGGCATGTTTTACTTCTGGCCCTTCAACTTCTTCTTTCTCGAATTCTTCTTGGTAGGCATCATCTGCTTGATCTTGCCTTTCCCTCCTTTAAATCTATTCATCTTCAATGCAATCTATCCTTTCATGGATTGACTCTAATTATTCCCTCAACAATCTAGCTAACCCACAAACCATTGCTTGCATTTGTAGATTAGGTGCACCACCATCATTTTAGTCGTCATATTCTCCTGAATATGAGAATTGTCTCTAGAATGGTGACATGATTAGTAATAAAATGAATAATAAAATCACACCAACACAAAACCTCACCAATACACTCCAATGAAAAAAGTCACTCCCCCTCGTGTTTCACTCAGGATGGCTTTTACCCTTCATGTGCACTCTTGTCTTTTATCACTCTTTCTCATTTTTTAAGTCATATTAGAATTTACTCATTGCTTGATAAGATCTCTTGTGGGAACTCGACTGAAAGAAATGGGTTAGGTAGTAGGAAAACGTATGTAGAAAGGGTGGCTACAAGAAACAAAGAAAATATGAGAATAAGTATTGAAATGGATAAAGAAATGAAGAATAGAATATTGAAATTCTTGAAAATTTTTAAAGATGAAAAGAATT